ACCGACAGTGTACTCTATCTGTGCCGTACAGCAACACTCCTTAACAAGAGAGTNAGCAGGGGGGCTATTCGATATACTCGTAGCATAGCATGCGGGTGGTATATTGCGTATACATATGCGGGTATTGCAGTGACGAACTACGGAGGAACAAGAAGTTTCTTTATGTTTTCCTTGGGAGTGTGGTAGATTGGTGGAGATTCATGAAGATTCGTTTTGGGTGTTTGAGCGTTATGCGTGACATGATGCCGTGATGGAATGACGAGCTCAAGCACGCCCCCGATCAATACAACACGTATACAACACGTTTCCCAACACGTCTGTTTAAAGGAGTATAAGCCGTGGTCCTTAACATCTGTACGACTTTACCTACCCCTATGGCCCGTCATGGCCGAGCTGCCCTACACTCCCATCACACACAACTGAGCCACCCGAATTATCTATCACCACCATCACCACCACCGTCGCCGTTGATACAGCAGCAGCACTTCAAACGGCCAGAGCGCGATAAACGAGACATGCACCTCTAATCTTCCATCTCTCCAAGACGGCGAAACGTCTCACACGACTTTTTCGTCGTCTTCAAGATGACAAACGATATCTAGTTGGTCTAGCTCCCTTGTTCATGGCACGAGAAACGTACAGCGGCACTCACGTGTCTTGCCACACCCCGCCAGCAGAAAACCAGCAGTCTAAGTGTTTCGGGATATGGGGCACCTACTTCGAAGCAGGCAGGGGTAGCAAAAGGCGGACAGCAGTGGGAGAGAAATTGTGTTATGTCGGGGGGATCTTAGGCATGTGCTCGCGATTCTTGCGAAACGACGGCGTGGGTGAGTTCGAAAACCACAACAGGGAAGGAAAAAAGGATATCGCTCTTGCCTGCTGGAAACAACACGCTCGGATAGAACGTAGTGCAAGGCAACAACAACAACAACAACAACAACAACAACAGCAGCAGCAGCAACAACAACAACAATGACAAGAAGCAGCACAACAACGAGGAACTCCTGCAACAAACATCTCACAACTTCCGTGTGAACCAGGACCAAGAATGCACCTGCCAGGGCACACCCGCCGGCAGGACCAGCGGCAGCGACCAAAGTAGTCCGTTCTTTTCGGCGAGCTCAGCCTCCGCCAAGTCGTGGAGGGACCGGATACGGTTACGGTGCCAACTACAATGCCCACCGCAAAAATTTGTCCCGGCGAGGAGAAGTAAAGGAAAACGAATCTCCGTGCACCTTGTCGGGCACATACAGGCTCCGGTGTCCATACCATCGCGTAATCTCACCTGCTGAGACTATTGCACGCGGGCACATAAAGAATACTTGCATAACCTCCTTATGGGGCACCGTCATCACGTTGCACTCTCTCCCATTGCCGTGATTTGCGACCCATATGTCTCAAGTGACTTTCTTTTCTGGGAACGAAGGTAGCCAGAACCAGTGTAATTGCTATGCATTTCTTTTGCCCACGCTATTAACAACGGTTGTCCACGTGTATCGAGTGCAACGAGACTGGACACGTATGAATACTTCTGCCATGTATTTGCCTGCGATCGTCCTTCTCTACTCCTCCGTTCGTAAGGGCCAAAGGTCAACGATAAAGGCCGATTCTGGACTAACTACTCCCCGGTCTTCGAATCATTCCTCAAGCTCATGGAGTCCTCCTCCAACGACGGCAACGGCGATGCGGCCAGAGATGACGCTACCGACAGAGCACAGCAGGCTCAAGCCGAGGGTGAGATGAAGAACGATTGGCCTAGTCGACGGCATGTATCTGATTGGGTTAGACCGTCATATAGCGAGAGGACGGAAGGCCACGTCGGACAGTCTACGTTGGTGATGCTGTCACACATTGAGGGAGTTAGGCGTTGGTTGGGACTGCGCGACAAGCTTTTGGAGGTTGGATATCCCCTCGAACTCCGCTTGTAGGCCATGCTTTTAGCACCATGTCTGCCCTGTTACGAATATTTCATTGTTTAGTGACGCAGCGCATCGAACGCTCGTATTTTCGCGGTTGCGCCATCGCTCATGGTTCCGGCTCGGGAACGTGGTCGGACTTTCAAGAACTTAGATCACAACCCGAGTTTACCCCCCCCGAACCTGCAACAAGCCCCACAACAACCCCACCCATTCTAGACTTGAGTGGGTTGGCGACACGCCACCTCAAATATAGCCCCCATAGTATGAGCTACCAAAGACGCGTGACGCATGGATGCGTGGAGTGAGGATAACTTACGGAAACCTCACAGGTTGAGTGATGTAGGAGATTGCCGGACACATAATAAACGTGTTGAGTGATTATAGCTGAATACCGAAAGCCCACGGGTTGAGTGAGGTTTAAGATTGCCAGACACATGGACGGGTTGAGTGGGTATAGCTGCACACTGAAAACCCACGGGTTGAGTGATGTTGGAGTGCCGGACACATAGACGCGTTGAATGAGGATAGACACATACTGAACCCCACAGGTATTTGTGATGGAGATTGCCGGACACATAGACGTGTTGAGTGAGGATAGCTGCATACTGAAACCTCACAGATGCATTGGTTTTTGAGTTTGCCAGACAGATAGACGCGTTGAGTGAGGATAGCTGCATCCTGAAACCTCACAGATGGATTGGTTTTTGATTTTGCCAGATAGATAGACGCGCTGAGTGGGGATAGCTACAAACTGAAACCTCACGAGTTGAGTGATGTTGGATAGTGCCGGACACATAGACGTGTTGGGTGAGGAANTGAGTGAGGATAGCTGCATCCTGAAACCTCACAGATGGATTGGTTTTTGATTTTGCCAGATAGATAGACGCGCTGAGTGGGGATAGCTACAAACTGAAACCTCACGAGTTGAGTGATGTTGGATAGTGCCGGACACATAGACGCTTTGAGTGAGGAAAGACACATACTGGAACCTCACAGGTGATTTGTATTGGAGATTGCCGGACATATAGACGCGTTGAGTCAAGATAGCTACATTNGAGTGAGGAAAGACACATACTGAAACCTCACAGGTGATTTGTATTGATTGGAGATTGCCGGACACCTAGACGTGTTGAGCAAAGATAGCTGCATACTGAAACCTCACAGATGGATTGGTTCTTGAATTTGCCAGACACGTAGACGCGCTGAGTGGGGATAGCTACATACTGAAACCTCACGAGTTGAGTGATGTTGAATAGTGCCAGACACATTGACGCTTCGAGTGAGGATAGCTGCATATTGAGACCTAACGGGTTGAGTGACGTTTGCGACTACCGGACACATAGACGTATTGAGTGACGAAA